CATCGGTTTTTCTTGGAGACTGAACAACGCCTTACTGACTGACTCAGTCTGTGTAGCCGAGATCAGGTCCTCAGTCCAATACTTTATCACTGATCATGCTGCTGATTCCACACACCCGCTGACTAAATGGGAGGCACTTAAATGTGTGGTGAGGCATTTTTATAAAACATGGCGCCCGCCTCAAACGGGCCAGAGCAGCCCGCATTACGGACCTCCTGTCCACTATAGCGAGACTTGAGAGCCTCCACAAATCCACCCGGCTTGATGCCACCTTTGTGGAATTATCCAACGCCCACCGGGAATTGCCTGCTATCTTAGACTCTGGATCACAACTAGCAAGGGAGAGGGCTTGTAAAATACGCTATGAGTCAGCCAACAAATGCGGGCGTCACTTAGCCAGGACCTTACATCCCCGCCCACCACGTGCATTTATTCCCTCTATCTTTGGACCTCGCTCTGCTAGACTTCACTCCGGCATGGGTATAGCCGGAGAGTTCCGCCGCTATTACTCAGATCTATACAATCTCCCGGCCCCCACATTGGCCCCACTCCCAGGGCAAATCGCGGAATCCCTGGAACATTATGTTGAGCAGACAGCTTTGCCGACTTTAGATCCTGCCGTTACACTCGCTTTGGAGGCACCCTTCTCCAAATCCTAAGTTGATTGTGCTATTCGTGCTCTTAAAACTGGTAAATGTGCGGGCCCGGATGGGTACTCCCCCAGATTTTACAAAGTTTTTTCTGATCTCTTATCACCTGTTCTGACCCGCACCTTTAATTCAGTAGACGCTATGCACCCCTTTCCCTCCACCATGCTGGAGGCAAACATCTGTGTTATTCCCAAACCCGGCAAAGATCCATCTCTCTGTCAAAATTATAGGCCAATTTCGTTGCTTTACGTCGACATAAAACTTTTCTCCAAACTTCTGGCACTCCGTCTCTCCCCCTCTTTGCCAGCCATTATCCACCCGGAACAAGTGGGCTTTGTACCGGGGCGTGAGGCCAGGGATAACACAGTTAAAACGATCCATCTGATCTCCCATATCCATAAACACCATACTAGGGCTTGTTTGATCTCCATTGACGCTGAAAAGGCGTTTGATCGTGTGGACTGGGGTTTCCTCCACCGGGCCCTGCTGCAAATCGGTCTGGGTCCGACTATTCTTGCAAAAATCATGTCCCTATATTCCTCCCCGACAGCTCGAGTGATGGTGAATGGCACCTTTTCCCCTCCTTTCTCCATTTCCAATGGCACTAGACAGGGGTGCCCTCTCTCTCCCCTCCTCTATGTCATAGTCATGGAGCATCTGGCGCAGGCATACGCTCCAATCCAGATATACACGGCATTGTCACTCCCTCCTTCCATCATAAGATGTCTCTGTTTGCGGACAATTTACTTTTATATATTACAAATCCCCATATAAGTATCCCCGCTCTGTTAAAGGAATTCCATAGGTTTTGTGGATTCAGTAACTTTAAGGTTAATATGTCTAAATCGTCGGCCCTGAATCTTATGTTGGCCCCTCACACTCTGGCCCTCTTGCGCACAAACTACCCCCTTTCAATGGCAAACCCGATCCATCAGATATCTGGACACTTCGATTCCCTCCGTTTTGTCAGACATTTTTATCCTGAACTACCTACCTTTACTGGGAGCTGTACGCCGTGCCTTTGAAGCATACCATAACGCGACGTTGTCGTGGTTTGGCAAAATAGACACCTTGAAGATGGAGATGCTCCCTAAATTGCTGTATCTCTTCCAAACTATCCCTATCAACCTTCCCAAACATTACTTCCGTGCTTTGCGCTCTTTAGCGATACGATTTATCTGGCGGAAGGGATACTCTTGTATACGCTTTGGGACTCTATGCAGACACAAATCAAAGGGGGGAGTGGGCCTACCCGACTTCGAGATGTACCATCGGGCTGCACTTCTGGCCAGAATTTTAGACTGGTTCCCAGCCCCTTCCATGCAGTTCAAACCGTCAGTGCTGATAGAACAGGAAATCTGCCCGGTGGATTTGAGAGCCCTCCCTTGGACACCCCCTAGTGACTCCGCGCCATTCCCCCAACCTTCTCCCCTCACGACTGCTACCATGAAGACATGGCACAATGTCTATAATGACTATTCCCTCACTACGGTACCTGGTCCCCTCTTGCCATTGTTTGATAACTCTTTGCTCCCAGTGGGGGTGGCTATCCCATTGATAGGGGGATATGGGAGAGGCGACTGGCCCACAGCTAGGGATTTCATCCATCCATCCACGGGATGATTTGTTGGGCCGGAGAGGAATGTGTTGAACCCTACTAGTAATTGGTTATTAGACAGACAGCTGTCTGGCTTTTGTTCGGCCCTGTATGCTTCGGGCCAAACTCACAGACCTCTGACGCACTTCGAGGACATGCTAGTTGCCCGAACGCCGACTCACCACACGATATCAGCAATTTATGGTATGTTGAGAGACACCGCCCAGCGGACCCCGCTGAGCTTCCAAGCTCAGTGGCGTGCGGACTTACAAAGGGAACTGACGGACTCAGACTGGGCAACCATTTTCCATTTTACACATAAATCTTCTATATCTTGCCCAGGAGAAGAATTACAAAATGATCACCAGGTGGTATAGAGACCCAGTCTCGGTACATAGGATATACCCTAATTCCCCAGACGCCTGCTGGAGATGTAATGAGGTGAGTGGTAGACATGTGCACCAGCAAAAAATTAGTTTAGTTTAGTTTCGTTTTGAAAAAAAAAAAAAAATTTGTTTAGTTTAATATTGCATTGCCTTAATTTTTATATGTTGCTTTTATACCGGATTGTATGAATCTTCTGAAACTTCTAATAAAAATTGATTCAACCCTAAAAATGTAAACTGTTAAACTCTTTAAACCTTGTTCACAGGTGCTGTAAATATCTATGCTTTGGACAATTATGCATGTAAGCCAACTTTTCTATTTATGTAAAGAACAAAAAATATGCTGACCATATTCACAAATGCACATGCTTTTTAAACAGCTGGATTTTCCTTTCTGCCCTTTTGGTATCTTAAAGAAGAAGTCTCATTAGGAATAAAATCTTAACCTGATGGTCTATTGATTTAAGTTGAAATTTATCTCTTTGGTTTTGAAAAAAACTAAACATTTCTGCCCAAAATAACATATTGTAACATACTTACCCAGCTGAGCTCCAGGAACAGACTCCAGCTCCACCCTCTTCCCTAGCCTCATGCAGCTCCTCCCCAGCTGTAAGAATAAAGCCGGGAAGTTTGAATTGCTCGGCGTCCTGGTATACTACAGACACTGAGCTTTTCACTCTCCCTGGCAATACCGTTCTGTATCTTGAGATGTTGTGGCAGCGCTGGTCTTGGGCAAGCATCTGGTGCCAAGACAAGCACTGTCAGTCAGAGCTAAATAGGTATTCATGATCTACAGTGCAATGTGGTTGGATAGTGGTTGGGCGAGGGGGGCACACTGTCAACCATGCTAGCTCTGGATCCAAGCCACCTCTAAAAACAGGACAAAGTGCTATCCTGGGGGACAGAATGAAGAAAACAATGATACTTACATGGACCTAGACTCAGGGAACATTATAAATCAGACAGTGTAAGATCAGTAATTTGTGAATGACACTTATGCTTCCGATTACAGTTCTTATACTGTAGCTGTTCCACATCTTTAATTATCACAGAGTGTTTCTATGCATCATCTCTTCTGGCACCATCAAGAGAAGATGTGCTCTGCTAATCAGAAAAGATATGCTAAAGATAATTTGTTTTTACTGATCACTTTGCCTCATTTAACTGCTAATGAATACCTGTTACACAGACAATCTTTAGGCACAGGTCATCTTTATAATGTACTGGTTGGTTTTAGTCACTGTTATCCAGAAATAATGCCAGCAATCTACAAACTAGAGCTATATGTAGCATCTGTCACCATAGGCAATCGAACAATTATTATTATACAGGATTTATAAAGCGACAACAATTTGCACAGCACTTTACAATATAAGGAAGACATTACAGTTACAATACAAATCAAGATGGTAAGGAGGGCCCTGCCCATTACAGCTTACAAGCTAAAATAAATTGTTCATTGATAATATTGTTTTTTAGACCAATTTGTCATCAAATGAAAGGCTGAGCGATAAGGGTTAACAAATCCTTAAAATCAGTTAAAACCTTAAGGATTGTACATTTACAATTCAGCTACCACAGACTTTTAAGACTAGTTATAAACCTTTAGGGGATTATACAGATCAGTGTTAAGTAAAAGAAAAAAAAAAGTCCTAGTTAAAGATCAAAGAGATGCAAATTCTGGTCTATAGCAAGATTCCTAAACATTGTTTTTTCCCAGTTCACATTAGAGTTATCATTTGCTGAGGTTTAGTTAGATATGCTTATCTGATGTTTGTAATAATGAAAATCATTCAGTGAATACGCCTACAACGAACAGTTGTGGTACAACGCCCTCAATGAAAAACCAGTCAGATGGATTGAAAATTTGTGGACAATGCCACTTGCTGCCAATTGTCAGTAGAACGAAATGTGCATGAGAAAACTTCAGTTTCTATGTATACTTTGAGGAGGTGACTATGGAGTGTATTTATAAACAATTTGCAGAGCCATTCGTCCTGCAAAACTCTGTGAATGTTCAAATAGAGGGGAAAAAAATGAACATTCTTGGTATATTTTCTTTCCAGGTCACATGTAATATTAGGAAAATACTGCACTATGGCCACTAGATGGAGCTGAGAAGCATAGGAAAGAAGAATATATTTCCTATGCTCCCCTGCTCTGTCTAATGGCCATATTGTGTTTTTATCCTATGATGTTTGACCCGAAAAGAAAATATACTAAGAACGTTCATTTTAGCCTCTATTTGCAAACTATGTGTTAACAAATGTGTATAGGTATCTCCAATCACAGGAAAGTACAAAGAGCAAATATTGAAAATTAATTTTGTGATATAAAGAACATCTACGTTCCATTGAAAAAACTCACCTTAAATAATGTGGTACCAGGCTCTCTTCCTGCCAAAGTATTACTATCAACCATTTCAGCTATTCTTGGGTCTTCAACCTGCATGAAATCATTAACTAGGTCAGTAACTTCCACCAGCCAGTTTGGTCCCAGCATCGTAATAACTTGGTCAGTGCCTTCAGAAGACGTAGTGTGGAACTGGGTAAAAACTTGCAAAGTGGCATGTTGATATTGGAGAGTACAACCTCGATTTAACTTTCTATCTTCCTCGTCATCATCGTCATCGCTGTCACGTACTGACCTGCCAATAAAAGATAACATTTTTAGTAATACAGCACATTAAAAGCATCTTTACAGAAGACTAAGCTGCAGCAGTTCTTCGGAGTTGGCCTCGATATAAACTTTAGGTTAGTATCTCAGTTAACCTGATCAGTACAGTACTCTACTCTGCTCTACATTAGCTAATTTATTTCTATATTAATAAAAGGTAATGGTAAACAAGGTAAAGGATGCAAATTCAAATTTTTTGCACTGAAAAACATATAATTAGTAACAAAATGTTAAATATGTTAAAAACAATTATATATGTTAACAATAATATATGTTAAAAATATTAATAAACATAAAAAATGTTTTAAATGTTTTAGGAAGAGTCTGAGATAGATTACCATTTTCTTGAATACATTGATTTTTATGTAAAAGAAGCATGTCATGAGAGAAACATCAAGGTTTTTACTGCTGTGTGCAAATTATGAAAATACTAGCTGCCTGGCTTGCTTCTATAATTTGAGTCACTGACTATTATACAGCTAAGGACTTCTGACTCTACTTTGACCTTCCTAGTCTGCATAAGTACAAGAACCTATAGCAACTTATTAAAACTGATCTGCATGCTTCTGCTGATAGTTTGCTTACAGTGTATCTCTAGGCAAAACTTTTTTTTCTAGATTACAGTGGTAAAAGGTCAAGTTTGTAATGCTGTCCCTATCGGGTAAATTAATTCCTCTGTTGTACTGGTGACCATTGTCACTGAGAGGGGAAATCCAAAATTTTGGAGTTGTCTGCAGAAAAAAAGGTAAGCGGAAATCTTCCAATGGGGACACCTGTTCTGGTGACAATTGACTAAAAGGGAAATTTCCTTCACTTTGATAGATTTCCACTAACTTCCTGTTTCATGTCTAGAAAAGGAAGTGAAGGCAAATTCCCCTAATAGCAGGTATTTACAATTCCCTTCTTCATTACAAAAAATTGCAATACATACACTTGAAAGCGCATCTTTTATGCACCTTTTATCAAAAACCTTTTTTTTTCACGTTTTGGACAAAGCAGTGAAAGTCTACAACCTCTATAAGGTTTATACTGTCATCTGTGTCTTCGCTGCAATGATTCATTCTATTTGTCCTGATGGCCGTTGTCACCAGGACAAAAAGTGGTGAGGGGAAATCTTTCAGTGATGAAAAATGTTTGCAGTTGTCATCAGAATATGATGAGGGAAAAACTTTCAGTGGGGACACCTGTTCTGGGTACAACTGTCTTTGAGGAGATTTTTTCTCAAGTTATCAAATTGCCTCTTACTTCCTGTTAGGTCTCCAGGACAGAAAGTGAAGAGAAATATAATATATATGTAGCCTACATTAAAACAACACTTGTTGATCCTGCAATGAAGGTTCTTGTATAGGAACTTCCTGTTATAAAGTGACACAGCTCTGTCCCTGTCTCCCAACTGTTTTCTTGCACTTTCACTTGAGCTTCAAATTGAAACTCAAGTGCCTGTTTCAACACACATTACACAGGCATGGCGTTGTCATTATCAAGAAGCCCACACTAGAAATGCTACACAGACATCAATGGAGTAACTGTAGACAGCAGCAGCAAAGGGCTGGAGATCAGCAGCAGAGAAATGCAACCAAGGATCAAAAAGGTCAAAATAAGTTTTTTTATTTTACCCATATCTTTAAAATAACAACAAAGACACCTTTGTAGATTGTCCTTACTAAACATTTCTAAAACACATACTTCTAGATAATTGCAGGCTTTGTAATCTTTACATACCTTATTTTTATTTTCTTCCCCAGTCTTCTGACAGTGGCCATGTTTAATAAGGTCATGTTAACTAAGGTCACATGTGCCAGAGAAATTCTGGCACATGTGACTAGGACATGTGACCATGCACATCTCAGGGGAGGAAAATGCCTTTCCTGACATTCCAGATGAGATTTCCCAGCAATGCTCTGCTGATGTAACCTTCCCAGAATGCAACACTTAGGCACATACGTAATTTGTGCCAGAACTGGACTAGGAAGTAGATAAACTCTATTTGTAAGTAAAGGAAAAACATGTTTGTTTACTATGTTCTATGGAGGTCATAGAACATGGTAAATTAAGCTTTTGTATGTGTTAGACTGAGACTGACCCTGCCTTGCAATGAAAAAGTGTTGTCACTAAAAGTCATTCAGTTTTGGTTTACTCTGCTTTAAATACTGGAAGCATATTTCCATTTGGTTGGTGTGGAGGGCTGGTCATCACTGTCTGTTTTCATCAAGCAACCAAGATCCATTGCTCTCAATCATGTAATTTGTCACAAACACCACATTTTTAGTTTGCTTTTAAAATGTGAATCTGAACTCCAAGCATTTAAATATATTCCTCAATATCCACATAGGATATAAAACTACTTGGTGTGCATCAAATACCTTTGCAAACCCAATTATTACCTTATAAGAGCATCAGTAAGATCATCACTGTGCTTCACATAGATCTCAGGGGAGGAAAATGCCTTTCCTGACATTCCAGATGAGATTTCCCAGCAATGCTCTGCTGATGTAACCTTCCCAGAATGCAACACTTAGGCACATACGTAATTTGTGCCAGAACTGGACTAGGAAGTAGATAAACTCTATTTGTAAGTAAAGGAAAAACATGTTTGTTTACTATGTTCTATGGAGGTCATAGAACATGGTAAATTAAGCTTTTGTATGTGTTAGACTGAGACTGACCCTGCCTTGCAATGAAAAAGTGTTGTCACTAAAAGTCATTCAGTTTTGGTTTACTCTGCTTTAAATACTGGAAGCATATTTCCATTTGGTTGGTGTGGAGGGCTGGTCATCACTGTCTGTTTTCATCAAGCAACCAAGATCCATTGCTCTCAATCATGTAATTTGTCACAAACACCACATTTTTAGTTTGCTTTTAAAATGTGAATCTGAACTCCAAGCATTTAAATATATTCCTCAATATCCACATAGGATATAAAACTACTTGGTGTGCATCAAATACCTTTGCAAACCCAATTATTACCTTATAAGAGCATCAGTAAGATCATCACTGTGCTTCACATAGCATGTGCAGAGAGAAGAGTTGTGGGAAAGACTTAGCAGCTCCACCCACTACAGGCTGTCTGGAGAAAACTACGGGAGGGGGCGGATAGAAGACCTGTCATCCTACACAAGGAGATAGAGCAGCAGTGACTGGTCATTATTACAGGAAGCTCCTGCACAAAGGCAATGTTTTGCACAGCTTTTGAGTAGTTCTCATATTTTTCTCATGACAGGTTTCCTTTCATATGGGTGCAGCATGATACATTGGAATTTCTCTGGTACAGAATGCTGGCCTGTTGTCTAGAAATGGTCATGACCATGTGTATTTTAATATAATAGTCTGCTTTTTTTCTTTATCATATATAAATTCTTATCTAGTTTTAACCTGACAAAGCATTTTAAAGCATTTACAATAGCAAAAATGCTAATTTGTTAGTTTTTCGTGTAATGCCTTCCAAAAAAAACATGTTAGCATTACCAGATATATACCAGCATAAGCAACCGCACACAATTACAATAGAATAGCCAGCTCCAAGGTAATTTCTATACAAATATTACAATACAAGAGTGAGGTTTTTCAACTCCAAACTCTCAAGGTTTTGCATTCCAGTGTTTGTATGGAAACAAAAAAAAACCTGTGTAGTAGAAAAGGAGATGAAATAGTTGATGTAGAAATTGTAAATGAAAGGCAGCGATTAGCATATGCTGCAGAAATGCCAAAATGTGTTCCAGGAGACAAGAGACGATACAAATAACTGAAAAATTAGAAAACTACAAAACAGAAGTAGAGGATGCAGATAAACATAAAATAAGCACAAAAGTAGGAAAAAAGATCAGTATACTTCTGCACACGAAATGGAAATGCATAAAACAGTACAAATAGCAAGGCAATTCACATCTGCCGGCCAAATTGAACCCATTCGTTGATACTGTTTCTTATTCTTATTTACAATTTATGTTTAGTGCATTAGCGTGCTGGACCAATTAAATGAAAACACATTAAACTGATTTGATTTCCCTTGAAACAAATTAACCAAATGCCATGCAGGATTTAATTCTGCTGAAATTCCTATTGGTCTACAGTTATATTTATGGTGGGAATTGATAATACTGAGCTAATTTTTCTTTTTTTTCAGGACAGCAATGCAAAAACATGTTACAATATATATATATGTAGTCCACAACACATAAAGATTAGATGCAGGGCCGCCGTCAGGGGTTGTACGGCCAGTACCATTGTAGGGGGCCGGGGGGGCCCGGACTTCAAGCTATAATTTTCCCCATAGACTCATAAGAATAGCACCATTTGCCTGGTCCTGGGCCCCCTTGCGCTGTTGGTACCATCCTACGAAGTGCTTACAGGGGGGCGGAGCTAACTTTCACTGGGCAGAAGTGCCGGAGATTGTGGTGGAAGAGGAGCATGTCTGCTGCTGCCTGCCTTCCTGCCTGGAGGGGAAAAGTAAGTGACAGACCAAGCAGACAGAGGCCCCGGGGTGGTGGGGGTTGTGATATAGACTGGGGGGAGAAATTGTTTTCATTTAACGTTATTGCTATCACATAGGGGGCTAAGAAAACACCTTATGTGATAGCAAAGATATGTGACAGGTCCTCTTAAGGGTCTCCAAGACCCTTAATGTCACCTAGGGACCCCCAGAGAAGCTGATGAAACCGAGATCTGCTTCATCGGGTTCTCTCCAGCTTCTGAAGCTGGAGAGTGACACAAAAATGCGGAAGTGATGAAATATACATCAGTTCCGCATTCTGACAGTGGAGAGGGGACCGGGGGAGATCTCCCTCTAATCCCCTGTCACAGAGCAACTATGCTGGTCCCAGCCTCACACCGGGGGCAGCATGGCCCCGGGACCAGCGTGACAGTGGGAGGGAGGGGACACACATGATCGGCACCCCATACAAGCGATCCGCCAGCTCTATAGCCAGCGATTGCTTGTATGTTAACAGGCATCACTGCATGTTTTTAAATTTA